TAGAATAAGAGATATTTCTAGTAATTAATATATTAGGTTTTATAATTATAAGAATCCTAATATAATATAATAGTATCTAGTCTATAAAGATATAGTATATTACTTAGTAACTTATAGCCTTCTACTTAAGAAAGTTAATTAAGATAGAGAGGAGGTATAAAATTTATAACTAAGAATTATTAATTATAGTAGAATACTTTAAGGTATAGTATTATTATCTTAAAAATAACTTATATATAATATATATATAAATAAATTATATAAATCTAAAATATTTCTATATTATTAAGACTTTAAATTAATATTAGGCTAGATAGGCTAAGCTTTTAGTAGTATATAATTTCTAGATTAAATATTAGCCTAGTAGCCTTAATCTAGCTAATATACTTTCAAGATAAAAGGATTATAAACCTGCTTAATAAGATATAGCTAAAGGACTCTTACCTATATTTTAGGTAAAGTTAGGAGGTTTATAGAATAATTAAGGTAGGAGTAAGATAGTAGCTTTTTAAGAAACCCTAATTATATGATTAAAAGATCTAGAACTTTTGATCTAAAGAATACTAGTATAAAGGGTAGCTAGTAATAAGTAAGTCTATAGGATGCTATTAACTACTCTATAAGACCTATTTTAGGAGATATAATATAGGAATATTTATATAAGTTAAATTTAGAGTAATACTAGTAAGAAATGCCTAGTATACTAGAGATATACTTAAATAGTAGGGAAACTATCTAAATAAAAAATAATAAAGTAGCTTAAGAATAATATTAAATAAAGATAAATTTATAAGAATAGATAGTATATTAATAATAATAAACTAATATAATATAATAAGATTATCTATATCCCTTCTAATTAAGTAGTATACTAAAAATTATTAAAAGTATATTATAATAATCTATATATAGGTTACTTTAGTTAAGAGAAGATATTAGATCTTATTAAATAAAAGTTTTACTAGAATATTCTATAATATAATATTAAGGAATATATAAAGAGTTATCTAATTTACTAGAAAATAAAGATATTTAGATAGCTTTTACTAGGCTAGCTTATAAAGCTTCTAGTACTAGAATACCTTTAGTAGGACCTAATTCTAGACTTTATTATAGGTTTATTACTATTAATATAAAAGAGATACATATATAATACTATTTTAATAATTATAGATTAATATATTAAGAAAACTAAATATCTCCTAATAATAGAAAATATTAATACTAAGGAGCTAGTTAATATATTTATAAAAGAGATTATATTTAAAATAAGAATATTAAGGAGTCTAGTAAGTAATTATAACTTACTCTTTACTAGTAAATATTAGACCTAGCTATACTAAGAGCTTTAAGTTAAAGAATAACTAAGTATTATATTCTACCTATAAATAGATAGCTAAATAGAATATTAGAACTAGATATTAAAGACTTATTTAAGGACCTATATTAGTTACTAATAAATTAATTAAGTAAACTAACTAGATATAGTAGAATTTATATATAATAATATAAAAAATATATTATTAGGGATATCTCTTTATAAGATATAGTATAATTACTAGCTAGTACTACTCAAGCTTGCTAATATTAGGGACTCTAGTATAGTTATAGTAGTAGGAAAATAACTTAACTAACTATAAATAAAATATTATTAGCTAGAAGAGAGCCTATACCATGCTACTAAATAATAAGTAAGAAGCTATAATAGGAGGTATTATCTAACTAAATATTATATAAGCTAATAGATACTACTATTTATAAAAAATATCTATATATAGAGATCTAGTAAGAAGCTAGATACTAAATATAAAGGACTATTTAAAATAGTTAAAATAATAGATTAATAAATATACTACCTATAATTACCTAAATTATATAGGAAAATCTACCTAGTCTTCTATATATTACTCCTTAAGGAATAGAATATAAGAGATAGTAACTTACTAGTATTACTCTAGCTAGTTATTATTAATAATAAGGAAAAATAAGAGGTAAAATAGATTATTATATAATAAAAGTTATATAGCAAAGACTAATACCTGGTTAAATAGAAAGGATAGCTAATATATAAGAATATTTAGTAATTAATAGAAGATTTAGAAAATATATAAGATATTTTAAATAAATTTTACTATATAAATAAGATATAGGTAAGGTACTAGTAAAATATTATAAAATAGTAAAATATAAAAATAATAAATTAATAAAATTAAGAAATTAAAAAGACTATAAAAAGTATATTAATAATACTATTCTTTCTCTTTTTTTTACTAGATTTTAAGATTTAATAGGGATATACTATAGGTATTAAGGAATCTTAAGAAAATAACTTAATTTTATTATATAAAAATAGAAATAATAAAGTACTTATATTATAATATTAGTAAATCCCTAATTATTATAATTATTCTAAATCTTCTTATTATTATTCTCTAACTCTATTATACTATTCCTAACATACTATATATTAAGTAGGTAAAATATATTATAATTAATAAATTAAAGTAACCTCTCTATCTAGTTCTTAGTCTTAAAATAATAGATAAAAATCTTAATAATATAGGTCTATCAGGCACAGGCTACTATATCTATTATTCTACTAGATATTACCTAAATTTTCCTAAGACTAACCTATACTAGCAGGATAATAAGAAAGTACTTTTTATATAAGCAGGTATATTAAGTATATTATTATTCTAGATTTAGGCATATATAGAAACAGGTTTCTATAAAACTATTATTTATATACTACTAAGACTTGGTATAATATAAGTAATATAGTATTTATATAATAGCAGCCAGGCTAGTAGAGGTAACTAAAATAGTCAGAGTAGCTAGGACTATAATAATAGCAGGAATGACAGGAGCCAGTGCAACAATAGGAGCTAGTATGATAATAAGAGCTGGCGCGACAATAGTAATAGGAGTAGCTGGAGTCACTATAGTAAAAGAAGTAAAGGAAGAGGTAGTAGGAGTTACTATAATACTAGAAGTAGTTATAAAGAATAAGGGGGATATAATCCTGCTAGATAATAAAATAATAATAATAGAAACTATAAGAAATATACTAGTAGTAATAGAAGTTATAGGTACTATAATTAGTATTAATATAGGGGGGTTTACCACAGGAGCCTATAAATAATTAGTATAATAGATCTATGCTGCTAGAATAAAGGCACCTATAGAAGTAGAAATAATAATAACTAAATAAGCTCTTTTCTATAAAGATATAGCTAGTATAATATCTAATAGAGAATATTTTAAGAGAGCCATAAGATTTATAATATAGTTAGCTATTATTATAATACTTAAGTAATAATAACCTACCTAATATAATATATTAACCTATTAAGAGGGACCTTTTAAAATATAGATTAAGTTAGAAGAAGTATATATAGAGAAGTATTCCCCTATAATATTTATATTATAATAATATCTTTACCTATTACTAGTATATCTAGCAAACTATCTATTCTTATTTATTATCTTATTTAAAGTAAAATATAATATTATTTATATCTTATTTAATAAAATATAATTAATAAAGATAGTATTATATATATTATTATTATTTCTAGTATTAAATAAAAAAGTAAGTTATATTATACTAACTAGGACTAGCTCCTCTTTAATAGAGTATTAAACTAGATCAGGCATAGCATATATAGCACGCAGACATGCCACTAAGAGAAAGGAAGGCAATTATTATAGTAACTATATAATATATAACCATATACTAAACCATATACTAAATTATATATCCAGTAACTAAGAGTAATTAAGAGAATAGCAATATTTAAGTTATCTATACTATACTAGTAACTTAATTAGGTAATATAAATAGCAATATAATAACCCCTGAAGTACTAAGAGGCAAGTACTTTGTTTTATTACTTCTAATACCTTCCTGCTATTCTTGTACTCCATGTAGCTTTGCTTCCTTTACTAACACTACCTATACCCAAGCGCCTTGCCAGTGAGATGCTTACAATTAAATCTATATAGTCTTAATATAAGTACTAGCTTTATTCTTTTTATTATACTTCTAATTTACTATATAGCTATTTTAATACCTATATTTATTAAGAAAGTCAATAACTTTATTATATAAATAAAATTATTAAGACTATAGGCTAGTAGGGAGAAAAATATAATTATAAGATTAATCTTCCTAGTAATTAGTTTATTACTTATTCTCTAATTACTTATTCTCTTTATAGTTATGGCCTTTAAAAGATCTATTTATTAAAGCTATTATTACTATATATAGAATCTATATTTATAGTAATAATAATAATAATAGTAATAATATTTAATATATACTTAATAGTAAATATATAGATTCTATAATAAGAGCCCTATAATAAGAGCCCTAATACTATACTTAGAAGGGAGATTTTCATAGAAGCTATACTTAATCTAGTATAGGTCCCACTATTAGATCACGTGGGGGTGTGTGGATAATGTAGGGGGTGCGAGGATATCAAGGGGGGGTGTGTGCCTAACACGACCCTAAATATATGCTAGTCGGCTTGTAGTCAAGCCTTATCTTAAGAAAGGAGATAGTTGTTATGGCGTGCACTAGGTGCACTAGTGCTAAAGGCAATAATTGCTAGGTATATAAGGTGGGATTCAGGCAGATCAGACATCAGGTCTAATCATAGTGACCTTTTGGTCTAATAGTTTAGACATGTTGCCCGAATCACATGCTCTTACATTAGCTCCTAGTCAATGAATATCTGAATCTGACTCTGCACCTTGACACTACGGCTTCGCGCCGTGACACACTTACAGTCACCATGACATTTACTAGGTATATATTAGGCTTATAACTATTAGATAAATTACTAAGAGTAATGCCTAGTATTAAATTATTTAGAGATAAAGGTCTGATTCTTTCTATTTTACTAAAATAACTAGAGTTAAATATACTGAAAAGAGGGGTAAAGTAGGGATAAAAGAAATATAATCTAACTAGTATAGGAAAATGAAAGGTGGGACTGGAATGGCTGGAAATAACTTCTGAAATTGGCAATTTTGTAAGGTTTCGCTGTATCCAAAGTCTAACAAAATATGAATTCAATGTGACTCTCTAGTAATAATATATACTTGTGTGGTTCATTTGTCTCTCTTTGGAGTCAGCTTCCTAGGGAGGGCGGAAAGTTAGCAAGATCCAGTGTAGATATTCTCATAGTATATAACTACTTACCATCAAAACTCCCATTTCAGTAACCAAATCATCTTCGAAATCTAACCATTCCTGTTGTTCCTCTGTTATGTGACCAATATCAAATGTTTGTGCCCTGTCGAAGTCAATCCAGATCGCCCTTTTTGGGTCACCATCGACAATCATCATGTTCCTCGGGTGGATATCGCTGTGTTCAACTTTGGCTGCATGGATTTCCTTAAGGCCCTTGATGAAATTTTCCATCCTCTCCTTTGTATAGTTTGTCCAATGCAAAGTCTGCATATTAGGAATATACTCTAACAAAATGCCATTTGGAGGATACTCATCCCTCAGAAATACTTTAAGGTGCGGCTGATAGAGCTTCGGGTCAAGATTATCAATTGTTCCATAAAACTGCGGTACAATACCGCGCTTGCAAAGAGCATATTTTTGAAGTCGTCTATATGCTGTGACTTCGCAGGTATGGATGTCTGTCTCACGATGGGTTGACTCGTAATACTGTTTTGGCCCACGCCCATGATGCTGTTAAGTATCAGAAAGTCGTCCAAATATCTGAACTATATTGGTACACTGACCACTTTCAAAATATAGGTGACGTCTTGAATAGCCACGAGGAATAAAGCAGAAAAGCGTGAACATGATAATTGGTGTTTGAAGTTTATGTCCGAAGGTGACAGCTTGGTGAGCTCCATGGAAGTCGAGTTGAATCAAGCAAGAAAGCAAAGGAGAGACGTGTACTGATTAGATACCTTTCTGTCGGAATTTGAGATAATCCAAACTGAGTATTACAAGGTATTCTCCGTTCCTTAGACACAGACTCCGGCGGAAGTGCAACAAATTGGACACATGTGTGGTTAGTTGAGGTGGGGTTGGAAGATTCCATGAGCTCTGGCGGGCTATTGGGAAGGACTTGGCATATGTAATTATGTGACTCATCGCAAATACCTCAAACATCCAATATGTATTACACATCATGCCGACAGCAGCTTCACAGAGATACCAGCAAATCGGAAAATATGGATTGCTTCGGACCCCCTCACGAGAAAATCAGATGTCAAAAGTACTAATGGCAGATTTAATCTATAAAAGGCTTGTAAAATTTAAGCAGCTTTACTAGGTTGGTTGTCAAGTATTTGCATTTTAACAAAATGGCAAACCAAGTGTCCCTGCTTACTTACTTGCAGGTAGCTCTACCCGCTATCCCAGCCAATCCTCCACAACCTTCAGGACCCAATACCACGAACGACTCGTATAGCTTTCAGGACATTCACAATCTTACTATTTGGGAAGAATTTAATTTGGCAAATATCCTCCAAACATATCAAACTGTCTTGACAACCTCTTCCCTTGCTGCTGATCCATTCCCCACCTCTCCACCAAATGCGATTAATTCAGAAAATCCTCTTCGGCATAGAATTACCGAAATGATATCGACACGTTTGCGGCGGGCTCTGCGTACAGGGTTTGCCAGTTTGAGTGCAGTAAAACAAATGAATGGTCTTACTATCCTCTCCTTTGATGTTGGAGAAGCAGCAAGAACAATCGGCACATATACCCCTGATATAGCCTACTTCACTGCTGGGAGTCAGCCTGGTACTAGTTGGAATCGAGCCCCTGGAGATGTCAAACCTAGTTGGAAATGGGATACGGCGATGAGCAGCGGAACCAATTACCAACGCAAAGAATATCGCCAAGCGCTGAGTCAATCATGAGCTCGTAGTCATTCGAAGGGTTGACAACAATGGCAATTTGCGACTGTCTCGGCCGATTCCCTGGGAAGTCGGAGGCACAGCGGCACATCCGCGTTTGACTATTCTGCTTGCACTCTGGTACCTTGGCATGCTTGCAGCCAAGGACCAGGGCCCTGGGTGTTGGAATATGTGATATTTCGTCCATTTATTCTGATGAAAGTGAAGATGTGGGTTTTTGGGGGCTGACTGGGAGTATGCTTTTCTTTTCTATGCACATGCGTTTGACTAGTAGTATCTAAAATTCAATACACCCCTATAGTGTCAGCATGGTTAGTTACTATTTTAGTTAATAATAAGATTTTGGGGGCCGCAATATATAGATATTGCGGTAGTAAGGGTATATAAGGCGGAATATGAGGGTCAGATTATCTGGTGCTTCCTAGCCAGAGCTGCATAGAATTCAAGCTTATTTTACAAAGCGTTCTCATTTTACACCAATTTAATATGGATGATTGTGCTCGCCCAAGTACAGAAATATTCGACCCCACTCTCCAAGAAAGTTATGGAAGATGGGCCTGTGCTGGGGAAATTAATCCGAGAAATGATTACATAGGCCGCGCAGCATGACTTGCTAATAATAAAATCGATCAGGTACCCTACGTTTGACGCGCCGAAGGCTTCGTCTCACACTACGCGCAACCGTTTAGTTCTTTGTTCTGGGCTAAAGAATATTCTGTTGACTCTATGTCAGCTGAATCTATACCGAGGGGGTTAAAGCAGCAATCCAAATATCGGCATTAGTAGTCACTATCTTAAGGTAGTAATAGAAATTTGTATGGATTAAATCCATTTTTGAATGGTTCGAAAGAGAAAAGGAATAACAGCATGAGAAAAGAAGGGTCTCAAAAAGCTACCCACTGCACTATACCGAAGCCTGGTTACTAACAGAGAGAAATTGTGGTTTATTAGTGGGAATTCAACCAGGGATCTGATAGAAGCTCATGGGCGCTCTGTCTTTCCTCCGGATCCCATTGTAGCATTTTTCGGATGAACAGTAAAAACATCGTTTTGTTTTCGCCCTCCAAGTACTCTTCCGATTCCTCCAGTGAGTAGTGGGGCACTTCTACGGCAGCGTTCCATTGACCTGTTTCAGAGGTTAGGCGGAGTCCTATTACTTAGTTGCGGTGCTCCTTACCTAGACCATTCCAGTACTTTTGACTTTGGGGAGACTTGTGAAGGAAAGTAAGTGGAGGAGATCCTAGCATAGCTTCCATTTCAGCAAGGAGGTGTACGTCTGACTGATCCCCATTAGGCGCTCTACCATCAAACAAATGATGGTCTTCAAATAGGTCCCAGACTAATACCCCGACATTCCATATGTCGACTTTTGACGTCCAACTCATCCCGAGGATAACCTCTGGGGCGCGATAAATATCTGGTTGAATCAACCCATTGTGAACATCCCCTACGCGTGCTTCACCAAAGTCTGAGAGAAGTGGCATGCCAAAACCTCTCCACCCCTTCTTCCGATGGAACGGGCGAGACTTGTAGACAATGCGGGGACCATCAATCTTACGCGGACTGGGGTCAGTTTCCTCGGCATTTTCCCATTCACAAAAAATTGAGTCGTCTCTAGAGGCAATAATAATATTCTTGGCTTGTATATCTATGCATATATTAGCCATTAGTAAGCTATTGGGGGTCCAGAGTGCCACACACCAGTATGTATTACCTGAGCTTCCGAGTGTAGATAGTCTAGGGCGTGTAAGATTTGTTGCAGTGCTCCCTTTAGTAAGTCCTCGGGAAGACTTTTTGGATCTAGGGTTGCCTGAAAATGTAAGAGGCTCGTTAAAAGTGGCTCATAAATAATGCACTGATGGTTACCACTCGGACCCTCAATCTCAAACTCGTCTATCATTTTACGGACGAGAGAGCTTCCGGGATGATGTGTATTTATAGTCGAAAGATGCTTAAGTACTCGTACTTCTCGATCTTCGGCACCTTGGATGTAGATTTTTAGAGCAATATATCGATGCTCACTATCTAAATTTAGCTCTGTCTAATTAAGGCTGCAAGAGATGCCTACCGGAGGTCACGGCAAAACCAGACTGTAGAACTTGCGCCAAACCCCAACTTGCTCAGAACCTGGTACCTGGATACGAAAACATCGCCAAGTTTGACCGGATAAAAAAGGCCTCGGTCGTATGCGGGCATTCGCTCCTCTTCAATTTTTGTGGCGGAGTCCAATATGGGAAACTTGGAAGGCTTGAGTATCCGTGGAGGGGAGGGGCATTGTCTAAAAAATCGATGGAGTCGAGAGAGTCGATTCATATTTAAGATTCAGTGGTAGATTGAGAATATATAGATAGATTAATGTTTTACGCTTGTTCAGGAGACCAAAGTTGAAGTCCTCTAGATACCGCGGATTTATTTATAGGCAAGGGGAACGTGACCACATGACTAGCGGCTTGAGCTGCGATTAGGTACCCTTGCCGCCGACCCGCCTTTGCTAGCTTGCGCCAACCATAGGCCGGCCGAATACTTGGCTGAATACCTAGGTAGGTACCTAGGTAGATATTGCCTTGGTAACTTGTGAGTTAGTGTCTATCAATGGATGAGCTGTCAGAAGGGAATCCACAGTTTCCGGCACTAGCCTTATATCCCATTTAAATATCATTCCTAAGCTTTCCATACCTCAAATAGTATGCCCAGAACAATTTCATATCTACATGAAGGGAGGCCAACCAGATGTAGTATACAACAGGACTACAAACCACTGTTTCTTGTATGGGATAGGCAAAGAGCACTAAACCTTGCGCTTACAATAATAGCTCCCCCAAACTAAGTACATTGGCAATACTCCCAAGAGGTTCTTTATACTGCACTGACTGTTTTTTATTTACTTGTTCCATCCTCATGCACATGCTTTGTCTTGATACGGTTTTCATTTTCGTCCAAAAACTGGAGAGAAATCACGTCCTGTTGATCACTTGGGTCCTTGTGTGATTGATGTGCTACAGCACCCCTAGACAATAAATAAGCACTCTGAAATAATAACCCATATTACCCTACTAACTTGATCTTTAGCTTTTTGAATTTGGGATCCTTTATATCATGTTAGCAGGTTTCTGGAGGTTAAATGTTTTCTAGAATTATATCTCTTACAGCGTTTTCCTCTTCTGTTGCACATTTATCAACACTTAATGCCCACTGTGCACCGTTCTTGTTCTCTACCCTTACTTGCTCCAGAGTAACCTTGCCCACCACTGTATAAAATCGCCTAGCAATGGATGCCATTGTTACAGGTGTGATGACAGGAATAATCTAGGGAAGATATCAAAATAATAAGTAGATAATGAACCTTTGAATTGAATATATGTGCTTCTTCGGCAGGGTTTATATATCTTGAGGGGCAATGGGAGGGTCCGCGCCGGCCAGTAATCTAAGCAGTCCAAGGGCTAGGTAGTTATCCAGTTTTGAAAAAGCAAAAAACGAAAGATAAAAGTCCCTATGTCCCTTTTACCAGTAAAATGCCTCTACCCCTAATTGATCAGGGTACCTCGACCGCTTGTGGGCGTCTTAAGTATCAAGAATACGGGGAGTCTGGGTATTGATGGATAGTTTTAATAATCAGGTTCATAGGTCTTGCTGGTCTTCCTATCGCAGTGCTACTGGACCTGAAGGACAGGTGGCAATACAATAAAAGCATTCCTATTTGAATTTCTTAATAAAGCAGCTATTCACGAAATCAATTTTGCATACCAGTTATGTTGGTTTATCAATGATCTATTTACCACATTAAGAGCGTACTAAAGACTTCTTCGGTCCTCGCTCTAGCATGTTTTGGCTTTTATACTTTCTCAGCGGTGTTTGATTATGACTATTTACATCACCCGCTCAATGCAATGATTTGGTCCGCCATCTCCGGTAATTCCTCTGTAACAGCATCCATTCTAGCATCAAATATATCCCAACATCCTTCCTTCTCATACACCTAATGCGGTGGTGACAATGCAAAGTACTTCTTCAACCGGAACATTTCCGGGCCAATTGGGGCAGCAACCGGGATTTCCCAATTTGGAAAGTCTGGTAGGAGGAGAGAGGGAGATCGGAAACTGGCAACCTGTTTATAATTGAGGAAGTAGATTGGGCGGTTGAAACGAAAGATCACTGATATACATGGTATTTTCTCCTCTTCAACTACGTCCGTTCTTGCGAGGAAAAGACCACAACTGGAGGGTACTAATTAACTAGAAATGTCGCTTGGTTTTCCATCTTGTGGATCTACATCGGCGGGAATGGAAACTTACAAATATCTTCCTGTACGGAATCCACTCACTGCATTTTGGCTGCGCAATCCAGATGAGCTGCACGAACATCGCTCGACCCAAGAACTCCCTGAACAGAGCGATATCGTAATCATTAGGGCGGGATACACCGGGGTGAGCATTGCATACCACCTAATTAAGGAACGTGTGGCCACTATCTCGTCTATCACAATTCTGGAGGCTCGCGGCGCGTGTTCTGGTGCAACGGGCCGCAACGGGGGTCATCTACGCCCGGATATGTACGGCCATATTCCAACCTATATCCATCGAGCGGGCGCTGAGGCATCTTGTGAAGTTGCCGAATTTGAGATTGCATGTATGCACGCAATCAAAACTATGATTGAGGAACAGGAAATAGACTGCGACTTTACTTACACGCGCTCCATTGATGTTTGGTGTAACTTGGAAACTGCAAAGAAAGGCAAGGTAGTTTACGACGACATGGCGCCATGCTTTGAGTACATGAGGGATGTGGTCTATACCGGCAAAAATGTGGGAGGGGTAAGTTGAGTTTATCCATGCCTTCTTCCGAAACGACATGGCGCATTGTCTCTGAGATGGTTAATATGGATCTTCTAGATTTGTGGTATGAAAGGCGCAACAGCCTGCGCCTCCTATACAGCAGGCACCATATTTCCGTATAAATTCATCATGCACCTACTTAGGGGACTTGTTCACGGCGGCAAGGTTAACTTACAGACGAATACCCCCGCCCTGGTAATTACAAAAGACGCAAAAACCCCCAACATATTTACTGTTGAAACCACCTGTGGTAAGATCCGCGCACAGAAAGTCATTCACGCATCCAATACATACATGTCGAGCCTTCTTCCCGAGTATCGACATAACATTGTCCCCTGCAAGGGGATTTGTTGCCGAATAACCGTTCCGGCGGGGACAACAGCGCCACTGCTCAACAACTCTTATATCAACCGAGCAAAAGATCACGCGTTATCGTACCTAATCCCGAGAGCAGACGGCAGCATTATTGTTGGGGGAGCTGCATCCACCTTCAAACCGTTCTTGGGGCAGTTGTATAATAATGTAGATGATAGCGTGCTTATCGAAGCAGCCAAAGACTACAATAATGATTACATGCAAAGGACCTACCGGGGCTGGGAGAATACTGGTGCCCATGTCAATCAAATCTGGACCGGGGTGATGGGGTACTCATACGACTCATACCCATATATCAGGGTTGTCCCATCCAAATCAGGGCAGTTCATTCTCGCAGGTTTGAACTGTCATGGCATGCCAGTGATTTGGCTAGCAGCAAAGGGTCTCGCCCGAATGGTGGCGAGTAATATTCCTTTCAAAGAGCCGGGCATTCCTCGGTTGTTCGAACCACACAGCATCGGATTGATCGAGCCACGAATGGAAAAGAGGAAGACGGAGATATCGTGGGTGTGGGGAAATCCAGTCCAGCAAAGCAGTAGTTAGTTAGTGCCTAGTAGACTTGACTAGTATCTTAGCTAGTTATCGTCCTAATAACTGGGGTAATAATCCAGACATTCCACAAGCATGATAAATTACCTCTCCTGGAGTATTTCTAAGTTACGCATAGATACGACTCTTGGTAGTTAGTGGTTTATAAGATTCTGTCAGCGCAGTTATGTCTCCAGCCTCTGGCATTCAGTAACAGGCGTGCCAAACAGCTGCGCTCTAGCTTGAGAACCCTGGGTGCGGCCATTACGCACTACAAATTGATGCCTCCGGGCCGCGATACGTTTACATTAATCTGAGTATCTGCCTTGCCATGCAGAACAGAATGCATCGAAAATATCTTGGCAATGTATTCAACATTATGATGGTGGTGGAAATAAGAAACCGGGTTCGGTGGACAGCTTATGAGTTGGAGAGGCGTGTTATGTCCTCCATGAGTTGAATTCTTCCATCACTAATATAGAGTCAGAAAATAATGAATTTCCTCATGGTTAACCGCACGGAATGCATCAATCAGACGCTGACTCCTAGTTACCAGTTGATAACGAGTACATGCCTAGCCAAACAGTTCCTTACGTAGTGGCATGCATTCACCTCGCTCCACGCCTAGAGGAATGTTTCAGCGACAGGTACGTACATTGCTACAGCCATACCCTGCAACGCAAAGAGTGACTGAGGACAAAACTACGATCTTTGGAATAATAGATCCATTGTCCGAGCCTGCCCAAGGGATACGCTCTCAAAAGCCCTAACCAGTTTAGTAATGAAGAAGAATGAACCAGAGGAGTGGTAGGAAGGCCTCCTAATATTAGTTTGAGCAGATAATCCAGGCCACTTTCGCTGTGTTCAATACCTACGACTACAGTATTGTATTCTACGCATGTTTATCAGTCGTGCATTTCTCTTTTATTGTGCCTCATGGCAGTCAGCTTCGGAAATACTAGAGTCGGCAGAGGCGGCAGCTACTACCACCTCCAATCAATCCATCAACAAACCATCATGTCGACAGGAACTGGTAAATTGCTGTATCTTGGCTGCCCTGGCTACGCATAAATAAACGGTTCACATAAGTTCCAGTGGTTATGTATTCCGTATGATTGAGCCCGCCGACGGTGAATGACGGATGGCCCATGGACCAACTAGCTTTTGATGGCAACTTATCCCCGGGAGTGGTAGAAAATAGTTCCAGTCTACCAGCTCTCCGCCTGTTCTATTTTCCTACAGAACTGGCTCTTTTCAGTGGGGGGGAGGGGGATCTCTCTGCCCGCAGGTGCCGCAATGCAGCCCGAGACCCAAGTTCTCTGGGAATTCCTCTCAACCCAAGATCTACGGTTCTATCCTGCCACCTTGGGAAACTAGGAGGCTATATTTCTGTGCAGTCAGAGTTTTATATCCATTAAAGTGCTCTATCCAGTATATTCCAATCATTATGCTTTTACCTACTTTGCTAGTAATTTTTGGCGAGCATTAGCAGGCCCGCTACGCCGTACCCCATCTGCCTACTGAAAGTGGTTAAAGGGTTTAGGGTTAGTCCCAAGGGCCGCAGCTCAGCTACTTGACTCCAAGTTGCAAGTACACTTTCAGAATGAGACTGAGAAGTTAGCTCATAGAGTGATCCGTTCTGGGAAATCAACGCGGACGTATTTCTATGACAAAGCGATGATAGGTAACTAATAACTAACTAGGACACAGAATTCATATCCGCGCCAGAAGGCTTGAGCCCGACAGCCACAATCGCTTCTGTGTCAAACGTAGACATAGTAAGCGATGGCGCCGGCCAGGAATTTGATTCAAACAGTCAAACTTGCAAATTAAAGTTTAGCATAATCGCACGTTTTTCTACCTAATGATAATCCAATAGCAACCAGCAGGATCCAGTGCAAGAATTTTCGCAATCTTGGAAGTGGTCCCATCCCCCAATCACAGGCTATGTACCTTATATGCCTTGTTTACTGCTCGTATTCCTCGTTCCACAAAAGGCTCATCCATTCAGCCCCCTAGTTAATAGTGGATTTACTATAATCCTCTTATACTGATGTCCTCCAGAGACTGTATAATTGTTGTATATGGGTTTCTTATAACACAAGCGGTTCTCGCTCGGCTGAGCTTCCATTTCACTAGTATCGACCCTTCGGAATATGTCCCCCCTTCTGACTACCTTCAATGCGACTCTGGTGTTGTTGGCAAGACGTATGAATGCATGAATGAGACAAGTAACAATCTATCCAACCCTCCGGCTTCTAGCACCCAGACTTTGTATAATCTTCCGGCGAAATGACTATCCCGCCCGGTGGAGTAACATCTAGCTGGTTCCGCAGCCGGAAGTGAATATCCGGTGTACATTCATGTGTCCCTGACTGCAAAATCCGTTGTATCATTTGACATAATCCTTGCTAGATCGGAAGAATGTGGAGTAGAAGTTACCACTGAAATTATGCATGGTAGAATTGAATTGAACTCCCAAGAGTCTTGGTTATGATCATGCTGTTGTTGGCTAAGATCATAATTAGTCGGAATTCTGGTAGTTTGTTCATTTTACAGAGCCAAAGAAACATGCAGTGCGTGTCTGCGGCCTTTATAGCAAGTATTTTTCATTTCCTATTTAAATATTTGTGGGAACATGGCCCCGGGGCAGTTTTAACGCGTAGATGGCTCTGCTATTTAATTCAGTTATAATGTTTCTTCTGCAACTATGTTCATTTAACGCCCTTTAAGGCAGTGAAAAAAAAATTCTATAACATTCTTGGTATTATATACTTGACAGTGGCTTGTACATACCTTAGTAGAGGGCACAGTTCTCGCCATTAGAATGTAAAAAACAAAGCATCCGCACTTAACCCACACCTCCAACCCCACAAAGGAAGATTAGACTACAAAAGAGGCCATTCTTCCCCTTTAAACTTCCACCCACATCTAGCAGGAAGCACCAGAGGGAACATTCTTGCAGTTGCCACGCTTGCCGCCGGTGATCGAGTTGCCCTTCCAGGTCCAGTCTTTACAACTGCCAGAACCACAGAGAATATAGACGTCGGTGGCGGAGCTCTTGACAGAGCCTGTGACTTTCTCGAATGTAATATCATCAACCTTCACGCCGTTGGTGGGTTCACCGGTAGGGCGGCCATTTTTGTAATCCTGCTGGACCACAATACCATACTTGGAGATTTCAGACAGAGTAATATCCTGGAACTTAACACCAGTAACGGATCCAGTGGTGCCATAAACTGTCTTAATTCGGGCACCGTTCTGGGAGTTCACAATCTTGGAGTTGGAAATAGTAACATCATTGACAGTGTTGTCCTTGCGGCCGCCAACAGATCCGATCGAAAGACCGTGGCCACCGTCACAGTGGCCATTGGTGAAGATGATGTGCTGTGTTCGCATCAGTAATCTGCATCGCAATAGGTACTCACAATATATAGAGAAGATTGGGAGCATACCTCGCCAGAATTAATAGCCAAGCAATCATCCTGGTTATAAACAGTAGCACCATCAATGGTGATATAGGTACTGGAGCCAATATCAAAAGCGTCGGTGTTATGTCCCTTGCCGGTTCCGGCGGAGTTATCAATAGTAACCCCAGTGATGGTCAGGTGGTTCGCCTGAATACTGAAACCCTGGACGGGGGTGTTGTAGACCTTAAGGCCCGTAATAGAAGACTGGTCCAGCTTGTGGGCAGCAAAGAACTTGGGCTTGGTCTTGCCACCATTGCTACCTTTGCCATCCCACCAGCGGGCTCCGCCGCAGTCAATCTTGGCTCCGGGGGCTTGCTTGACAGTAATAGAGGTGCCGGACATGGAAATCAGAGGACCCTTCCATTCCTTGTAGCCGAAGGTTGTTTCTCCCTCGAAGATAACCTTGTTGCAAGATCTCACAATCAGCCAAGTGAATGTTCATAGGGTAAATAGACAACAAACCGTAGTTCCGGTCTTGAGACCAGTCAAATCGAGGGTCTGACCCGCGGGAACCGCAATATTTTTGAGAGTGATAGTAGAACACCCGGTTTTGCCGGACTTGGCTGCGGCTGCAGAGGTGAAGGTACAGCTTGCACGCTGCTGAAGATCGGCCATGGGGGCGGCAGTGGCCAGCACAGCGCCCAGGGTCGCGGCCAAGAGAGAAGACTGAAGGAAATGCATCTTTAAAGAATGAAAATGTACCGGGAAAAGGGAATGAACGAGGGCTTGATCAACAGAGAACCCTTTAGAAATAACACAAAATTAAGAACGAGCGCAGGAGAATGAGAGTTTTCTAATAGGGATAGGTCATGGCGAGAATCCCATGGATATTTATATAAGGGCCGCGAAGCCTACATCTGGAGGAGAATATCGGTGCTAAGTTAGAAAAGGGTTAGTGAAGCTACGACGGGGTTCACAACCCATAGCTTGCACATCAACAGTTGAAGAGCTATCTACCCATTAACCTGGTTAAGGCGAATGATGCAAGGCTATCTCCACTTGGCTGTAGAAGCTTCGCCGGAAGTCCTCTGGATTCGGTGTTCTACCGAGACATTGCTCAATATCGATTTCTTGGTCAATTTCCCGAGCCTAGAAATGTTTGATAGTGTTTAAGAATCTTCCAGGAAGGGGCTTCAGGCATATTGGTACTCTCGTTCAGGGACCGCGCGGGTGTTGCAGATGTGTGGGTTTTAATTTGATGATATATGGCTCAGCGGGCTATCTACTGGGTCATTTAACCGGACCCGGTGGATGTCCAACCAATTATCCTCCACTCGCATGAATCATTTTCAAGACTCATATAGACTACCGACTTTTACTCGGCGGGGGTCGTATGACGGTGGTTTTTTTTTTTGGTTTTTTTTTGTGGCCCAGAACGACCGGGGGTTCGTTACGGGGAATCTTCGAAAAGCGACGGTCATCAATCCCTGAACGCCTGTCACATCCACGTCTGGAGCAAAAGCGGAGAGCGCCGGTGGGTTTTCATTTAGAAGTATACTGATGCCGGCTGCAACTTCAATCCCCAAATCAGTGAGCGCAAGGCGGCTACGGGATACCGGTTTCTAATTCTGAACACCAACTACTCCGTACTCCGTAAGGTTACCACTTGTCTTGGAAGACCCGCTTCTGTATATTGCAATTCGTTCTCAGCTTGGAGGAGAATTTGGAGTTGGGACGCTAGAAAAGAAATTCCAAGGTTTATGAGACCGGGATTTTGCATAAATTAAAAGTCAAGACCTGAGTTTTTTATCTGAAAAATATGTGCCAATTGTTTTAAGCACTGATCGACAGAGGTTAATGGAACATGCAGTTCGTACTGGAATAAGTTACTTCTCCCCACACAGCCGTCCCCGATGGTGAAACGCAGCCTTTGGAATCCAACGAGTGACAAGGGTAACCATCCTATTTTGAGGAAGTAAATCGGGTCCAATCACTTTCTCCTAGGTAGCAGCCGATGTTCACCGGAGATGGACGGCTGCGGTATCTGCGGGAAAGCAAAGTCTCTAGGATTGCTCGTGTCATTGATATGAAAACCAGTGAGTCACTACTTTGCCTGACATATTAGACCATTCTCCGGACGATGACAACCATGAGGGCAGGAGTAATTTGGATTGTACTGCCAGAGGAAGTAGGGATCCGTCTCGTTGGTTAAGATCTCCCCTATCAAACGGGACTGAGATGGCAGGTCCCGGGAGGCTTCGAAGACCTCTTCTGAGAGGATTTGTATTTGACCCCATCCATTCTGGATGAGTGTCTCGATTGATGTCCCGTACACATATTCACGAAACCCAGACCACCGGATGGCGGACGCACACTGCATTTCGAGTTTGTCAATCCCGTTTATCCCCTCCGGCTGGAGTAGGACTGCTTACTTACCATTGGGCAGCTTTCGGCATTGGTGTATATTGTCAAGTCTGCGAATGCGTCTTGTGCCTCAGCTGGACTAAGACGAAACCGTCCGTTTGGATCGGTAAGAATCGCTGTGCAATTATTTATTGCGGCTATCTCCCCTGTATTTGCGCGGCTGATTAGTCCCAGTAGCGCCTGGAAACAATACAAGAACCGATCACACACCGTGCATGGATGGATTCCCCGTCCTGGAATTCTCGTTGACCGCGATACAAATCAAATTGCCCAAGCCAGTAGAGCCAGTGTGGTTCACAATCACACTACCAAACGCAGCAAAAGGGCATGGAGAGTCACTCAGCTCCGCAAGAGCCGCATTTGCACGGCGCATCCAGTATACCCTTGTGGTAAACGGAATGCTATTTATCGCCAGCTGAGGTTGAGCAATAATCATCATAGACCACCAAGAGGCCTGTGTAAATAGAGCTGCGAATAGCAATAGAGCAACAAAAGGGGCTAGCATCATGCAGTAGGTTTCGGTGGTCTGACTTGATCGAGTTGAGTTAATTCTATTACTTCCAATACTCTGTGATTCACTGTTACATGGAGAATGTTATTATCAGCTTGGTCGAGACGCCCGGCCGTTGGTTAGATCTCTGTTGGGAGATAGATTTGCATAAAGTGTGGACAGTTAAAAACATAAAAACTTTGTTAGTTGTTATTGAAGCAGGACAGATTCAAAGATGAGAATATTCAATCCTTAACCAGTCTCCGAGGCAACGCGAAAATGATATGTTGGAGTGCTGCACTCAGTGAATGCAACCAGCACCACCATAAAGCAGCATTACCATAAAGAAGAAGTATTGAATTGAAGGGGTATCTCATGATATACTTAGTAAGCAAAGGGGGGGTTATTACCCTATATTAAGGCCTTAGGCAAGCACACAACCCCCTAATAGACATATATATTAATATACCTGATTACCTGCTTCTATTAAGCTACCCCTAGGATTATTATATATCTAATAATTAAGAGTCTTATATTTACTTAAAATATATAAATCTATACTAATGATCTCTACTAAAACCTATTAATTATTAAAATATTAATAATCTCTACTAAATCTACTAATTAGTAAAATACTGAGTGTAATGCCTCTAACTATTAATAATAAAGATAATATAGTAAGACTTACCAAGTAAGAAGACTAGCTAATATAGTAATCCTTATTTAAAACACGGGCAAGAGATAATAATCTATAAGAAATAATAGAAGGTAATAAGAGTTATCTATAATAACTTACTAAATTAATTAGGGATAGTAAAGAAACTCTACTAGTAAATAATACTAGAAATTCTATAGTATTATTATAAGACTTTAACTCTAAAGTAATACTCTATAAAATAAAAATAAATAAGTATAATTATCAGGTTATAGAACTTAGGAAATTAAAAAATTAAATCTAATATATTATTTCTCTAAAGATCTATTACTTTTACTATAAGCTAATAAAAATTCTAGAGAAGTAGTACCTTAAATTAAAAGAGTATATAGTAGTTAACTAGAGATAAATTTAAAATATAGCCTATAATACTTATATAAAGGTAATCTAATCCCTAAAAAGTAATCTAGTTAGTTAGTTAAATAACTAGGAATTTACTATTTAATAGGTAATTAAAGTAAATCTTAAAGTTATAATATTATTACTAGACTAGATAAAAGACTTCCTAAATATAATATATTATCTAGCTCTATCCTAGACTATATCCTATTAGTCAGATTATAAGAAGAAGATACTAGCAGGAATATTATTATTCTATACTATAATAAATAACTTCTATAATACTATTAATATATTTCTATAGTAGTATAGTAAGACTAGTAAAGGGGCTTTTAAATTAATATTTACTACTAAAGATATAATAGATATAACTAGTAATAAAGAAATATTCCTATTATAGGATAAGGAAATAAAATATAAGTATAGATATAATAATATAAGAAGAATAGACTCTAAAAGGAGTACTTCTAAAAACTTATATTAATTATATAATATATATTCTTAAAGGTATAAATAGATATAATATTTTTATCTATTCCTAGAAAAGGCACCTAAGGACTTTAAGGAAAGAAGTATAATAAGGAAGCTAGTTAATATATAACTTAAGATAAATAAGGCCCTAGTTAAAAAGGTAGTAAAGAAGTAAGAATAAAATAAATAAGATCTAGAATAATTAAAAGGAAGAAGTAACTAAGAAGTAGGTTAAATAAAAGGCAGGAATAAAGGTAAAGTTAAAGCTTTATTTAATATTTAATTTAAAACTATATTATACTTATTATAGTACTCTATTATTCTTAACTTAGGATTATTAATTTATATATTTAATAATTTATATTAATTTAAGTAATATATAGAATTAATATAAGATAATTATATATAGGCAGGAGACTTAAAAGTACCTATTATAGGATATAAAGATATTAGTATATAGATTATAATTTAAAGAAATAAAGGTATAAAATATAGCTATATAATTCTTAAGAATATAGCTTATTATAAAGAAATAATATATAACCTAGTATTACTTATATTACTAAATTAAATAAATATCTATTTTAAGAATAATCCTAACTCTAACCTACTCTATATATCTAAAGGTATAGTAGCAGCCTATCTTGATAAGAAATATAGCTAATTTATAATAAAATATAATAGTAAACTATATAATATAATAGGCCAGGTAATATTCTAAATTATTACTAGTATTAAAGATACAAAATAGTGGCATTTATACCTTAGATATCCAGGACTATAAGTATTAGATTACCTAGTTAAGAATACTAAGGGGGTAAGGATTAGAGGACCTATTATAGTAAAATATAATACCTATAGTATAGTAAAAATAAAGTAAAGAATTAACTAAAAAGACTATATTATTATAGAAAAACTAGGTCTATAGTTAGTAATTAACTTTTATAACTTTAAAATAGGGATAGATAACTACCAAGCCCTACTATTAGTTATAGATAGATAGTCAGGTTTTATATAGGACTACTACCTCTTAGACTAATATATAAAAATAATTAAAAATATCTTACTTAACTTATTTACCCTTCTAGAGAGGTAATATAATATTAAACCCTAAATAATTAAATTAGATAGCAAGATAAAGAAATAGTTAGAAAACTTTATATAATCTAAAGGAGTAAGACTTGACTACTCTACTTTATATATACTAGCCTAAAATAGAGGTATAGAGTACTTAGGGGGTATAATAAAAGAGAAGGTATATATAATAAGATAGGAAGTAAAACTACCTATATTTCTATAGTCTAAATATATTTATATAGTAGTATACTTATATAACTAAATACCTAAATATTAGGTAGGATAGAAAATACTAATTAACTAATTCTATACTTATATTACCTACTAAGATAGAGTAGTAATAGAATATAAGAAATCCTAAGGAGCTTATCTAAAGGCATATAATTATAAGGTATTTATAATAATTAAACTATAAGTAACCATAATAATAAAGTATAGAAAGTAGTTTAACCTAAGAGTATTTATAAGATATATAATAGGATATAAATTTATTAATATCTATTAAATATAGAATCTAAGAAAGGAAAGGAAGATTATCTATATAAAGAATATTATATTTAATAAGGAAGAATTCTTCTTAGAAAATAGAGATATATTTATCTAAGTAATAAAGAATAACTTCCTAATAATTAAAATTAATAAATTTAAATAAATAATTAAGGATATTAAAGTTAAAACCTATATTCTAATCTAGAGAGTATTAAATATAGATTACCCTATAATAAAGAATATTCTAGAAGGCAATTTTAACTTGCTTAATTATTTAGTTTAAATATTAAGATTAATACTTAAAATTATGGATAAGGATAAGGATACTAATATAAATAAGTAAATAGCCTATCTAATACTATTAGGTAGCAGCCTAGAATAGTTAGCAGCAATATTGGCAGGTACTTACCAACATAAGACAGCCAAAATTAAAGAAGAAATTAAGCTAAATAGAAGCTACTAAATTACATGGAAATCAGTATTTATAATAGGGAGGTTAATATAACTAACCTAATAAGATAGAATACTAGCCTCCAAGGCAGAAATACAAAGACAGAATAGGTAACTAGAGAATCTAATTAAGACTTACTTAGATTAGCTACTAACCTTTCTAAAGATATATTACCAAATTAAAAACTACCTATTATCTAAAGAATTTATAAAGGCAGAGTAGGACTACCTAGCTAACTATAAAATAATAAAAATATAGGTAGAAATAGATAGACCTAAGTATATAAAAGTACTAGAATATAAATAGATATATATATATAAAAGTAATTAAAATAGTAACCTAACTAAATATAAAGCATGCCTAGTAGTAAGAGGAGATTAATAAAAGAATTTAATAAAGGATTTATATACTATAACTCTAGTAGTAAGATCCCTCTAAACCTTCCTAATAGTAGCAGCCTAATTTAATCTAGAATTAAAGTAATATAATATTATAAATATATTTATTAATATAGATAATAATAAAAAAATATATATAGAAATATCTCTAGAATATTAAAAATTAGGCAAAGTATTAAAGCTAAAGAAAGTATTATATAGACTTAAATAGTCCTCTTATCTATAGTAGATAACTCTTTAAAAGGTCCTAAAGTTACTAGGATATAAACCTATCTTATATAAACCATATTATATTACTAGAGGCAGGATCCTAATATTCTTTTATATAAATAATATTATATTTACCTATTACTAAAAAATATTAGTATAAATATAGGCTACTACACAAGAGCTTTAGGACTAGTTTAAGATAATAGGAGGAAATAACCTGCAATAGTTCCTAAGAATAGAGATTACCTAGGATAGAGAGAATAAGCTTATCTAGCTAGGTTAGTTAGCATATATTAATAAGATTACTAACTTAGTAGATAAAAAGGAAGGTCCAGATACTACTCCTATATTAATAAAAATAATACCCTAGAAAGATTAAGATAGAGTATCTTACCTATATATCTAATAATATTAATAGAAGGTAGGATCTATAATATATATAATAGTCATGACTTGACTAGATATTATATTTATAGTATTCTAGCTATTCTAGTATCTTATAAACCTTAGTAAAGAATATTATACTAAAGTAGATTAATACCTATAATATCTAAAAAGAATAAATAAACTTACTCTATAACTTAGAGATTTAGATAACTACCTATTATATAATAATACCTTATTTATAAATAATCAGGACTAGAAAAGCTTATAAGAATATATTATAAAGTTATTTAGAAATATAATAGAGTAGAAAGCTAGTAAGTAGGTAACTATAATAATCTCTATAATTAAAGTAGAATTATTAGTATTATTATATATAATAAAGGAAGGAATCTTTACTAAGTATTTACTA